ACCATCTACAAGCCCATAGCCATAGTCCTTCAAGACTGGTTCAGTATAAATAAACTCTGGGGCCTCAGCTCTCACTTTCCTCCCCTCCCAGCGCTCTCTCATCATCCTTCTGACTAGTTGCACTTTTGAACACCTTAGTTCACCCCTTGGCTACACATGCTGCTCCTCTCACTGGAAAACCTTGGCTCCTTCTTTGCTTGGCCAACTCCTAGTTATCCCTCCAGCCTCGCCACTGCCTCCAGAGCCAGAGTTAGGTGCTCTTCTCTGTGTTCCATCATCTCACCAGCACCTTGCATTGCTACTGTTTGTTTACTGCTCTTTCAAAACTCCAGTATACTGTGGACTTCATGAGGGCCAGGATGAGTCTGTCCTTTGCACTTGCTGCACCTGTGCCTAGTTCAGTGCCTGACCCAGGGGAGATGTCCTGAGAATTTTCATTGAATAGATGAATAAATTCATGAATGCCAAAGATAACTCCTGCTTGAAGTGCGAGTTCTCATTAAAGGAATTTCATGATCAAATTTTAAATTCGTAAATACTTGTCCAGTTTAGTACTACACTGAAAATAAGAATACTCTTTAAAAATAAAAGCAGTAAATCACTCTTTTTGACATAGGCAGAAACAAACATACAGTGCAATACTATATTCTGAGGCAGATTAAAAGTTCTAGTTTTGTGGAAGGAGATTATTTTAGCACTGTTGTCAGGCCTCACAGCTTGTGTTAATGCAAATATTCACAAATGGCAATATCGACCCTGCCTGTAGTGTGGCTAATGGGACAGTCAGAAGGTGAAGAAAGGTATATAAAAATAACACACTGTAGTGGATTTTTATGACAATTTGTTAATTTTTTTAATGCTAAGATTTCTTTAAATCGTTAGTGGGAAGAGAAGGGGACAAAAAAAATCTCGTAAAAACTTATAAAGGGTGATTAGGTTAGAATCCAGAAGCCACACTTTTAAGGCAGCCTGATACTCGTTCACCCTAAAAATATAGCAAAAAGCTTCTACTTATTCAAATTTAGGAATTTTTTATATGTTGAATTTTATATGAAGGATTAGATTAACAGATCTAATAGGACAGATGCACTGTACAACCTACAGTGTATTCTACAATACACTGCTAAACACTCTAAAATAGAAAAGTAATGTCTACACAGTGATTCAACTTCTTAAGAAAAATGCAAAGTCAATCTTTACTGAGTCCGACCTTTATCAGGTAGGAGCTAAAGACACCTTAAAAAACAAAACCCAATCACCTGGCCTTTTTCTAGACTGATCTGGGAAACTGATCTGCATTTGTGTTTCAAACCAAGGGATCATAATTAAAAATCCCAGCTGGCTCACCTGGAGCAGCGGGAGCAGAACTGTTGGAGAAGCATGGAGCTCAGCTTGGAACTGAAAGTATCTGTTGCCAGGCAACGGCAGAGCAGCAGCAGCAGCAGCAGCAGCAGCAGCAGCAGCAGCAGCAGCCTTGCCAAGCAGCGCACACACACCTGCAGATATGAAGGCCTGCCCCGCAGCCGGTGCCAGCAGAGACAGGGACAGCTGGGTCAGAAAAATGCTGGGGCCTGCAAAGTAGGCGAGGACAGGCTCTGGTCACATCAAGAATTGGGAAGGCACAAAGTTTGGAGTAAAAGGACAAAGGTAAAACAAAGTGATGTTTTCCTCACTCTTGTTGATGTTTAAGACAGATAGGATGTTTCAGAAGTCCTATTTCATTTGAAAGTTTAATTACATTTCTTTTATATTTTTTGTGAATTTTGAATACTGCAATAATTTTTAAATGTTTTTTTTGTTGTTGTTTGTTTCAGTCTCTCTGATTGAAGTTTGCAAATTCTGATAAAAAATTGCACCTGTCCTTTGGTTAGCTGAACTCAAGTCCATGATGGCAGTAGGAACAAAATTTGTTTCTCATATAAATGAGAATTTATATGAGAAATTTGTTTCCCTCCAGAGAAGTTTAACAACTGGATGAAAATATGCAAGAAAACTGTTTTAGTTCATGGCAGGTCTAGGTTCAGGAGATGCTGAGCTAGTCCGAAAAGTGAGTAGAGGCTATACAGCACAAGATAGTGGATATGTTGAATTTAATTAAAAAGTCAATATTAAAAAAATTAAAAACTGGTCTTTCAGTAGCATTTTATACTTTAGAAGTTAAAACTGCACTAAAAACAGGTATATCAAAAATCTTAAAAGAAGAGGAACAAAATAATTTAGGTAAGGCGAAGAGTCACTAATTCAATGAAATGACAGTGCTCTAAGAAACCAAAAGCCGCAGCCAGTTTTGCAAGCAAACTTGGTGGTGCCAGCGTAGTGGTGGGTGAGTGACCAGTGCACACACAGACATCATTCTAGTTCGTGCCATTTTAGACAATTGTTGTTTTACATTTTTTATTTCTTAGTGTCTTGGTGGAAATAACCTGTGTAGATTATCTTCCATTCTTAGCAGTGGAACTCACTCCATGACCTAATCACAAGACACTTTAGAAGTACTGCAGTAATTTTTTTACTTTTTTAAAATAGAAGAGCAGGGAAACATTTCCCTTTTTGCACATAATACTCTGCAGTCAAATACTTTAGAATTTATTGAAATGATTTGTTTCCTCGTT